TTGAAAAATATCGGTATCGTATCGAAAACAAAATAAGTGGTATCGGCCATCCCTAGTGAGACTGACCGGTGTTACGAGATTTTCTGTTTCAGTGGGCGGAGCATACGTGAATATTCATGAGTTTCCTGGACGTGCGCGTGGAACCAGGTGGAACTAATAATTTCAGTTCACGCTCCTTGTGTCTCAGCAGGTTTAATGGGATATATATATATTTTTAAAAGTCAGCTATTTAGCAGTCAGCATCAAGCTTCTCTGTCTCTTACAACCACTCAGGTTAAAGAGTGAAAATGTGCCATGTTTGTTTAAATGCTGTGATGTTTAATATGATTTGTATTAGTTGTAAGCCATCAATTTTTCAATTTTCCTGAGCAATGTTTCAGAGCTGTGGAGTTCTTCATCAGGGACAAGTATGAGAGGAAGAAGTACTACGATAAAAATGCTGTCAATGGAGCAATTGTGAGTATCAACACTATCTATCTATCTGTCTATCTGTCTATCTGTCTGTCTGTCTGTCTGTAATTATTTTATTTAGTTATTCATGTGTGAATTCATATCACTTCCTACAGTTTAATGAATGAAGAAGCACATAATCTAAATAAACAAACTCTCTGAAAGTGGCATTTCTCTGAGGTATTTTACTGGACTGAAGTGAAGCAGTCTGTGCGAACAAGATTGAAACTGATCTTGCAGATTTGGTTGCTGATCATGCATTTAGCAAAGTTGCGGTTTTGATTTTGTAATGCATTGCAGCATATCAAATCATAACGTATTGTGAGCCAGTTGGAAATACCCAGCTTTAGTGTTTATTGTCTATCTTATGTGTGGAAGGCCTGATTTGGTGGCCAGTTGTTCTGATCATTGATGCCTCAAATTCACATTACACAGCTTGGTGGGTTGCAGCTGTGCTTTATGTGTTGGAAATTGATTGACAGGAGCCAGCAGCCAATTAAAACACTCTTACTTGTGGAAATTACTTTCTGTGACTTCCTCTCTGTTCTTTAATGTTTGTGTTGACCAAATGCCACAAGGAATAGTAATTGACCATCCTTAGCGTGCCGTCCAGGTCTTAGCCTCATGATAATGCTTGAGGAGCTTAAGCAATCTAAACAAACAGCCTCCTTTTGGCCTTTTCTGATTGCTTTGGATCAGGAGAGACTGAAACATGGTTACACTGTGAAAGGTTTTCGATCAAACTCTGCAAGGCTGCCCTGTCCAATAACATTTCTCTCTCTACTTAAGCCTACCCAAGCAGAGCTCTGCCTTTCTCTGACAGGCCTGCCTGAGCCGGCCAATTAAAGCCTCTGCCTGCAGAGACAGCCAATCAGATTTCACCAGTGGTGGTCAGCCGTTGACTGAGGAGTCACAAACCAGGCAAATATACAAGCATCATTGGTCTGTGTCAAAGAAGGATGAGAAAAGAAAGAAAAACTGTTAATTGAATTAAAATGCAGTACTAAAATGCAAAATAGTGGCGTGTTGTGCACCACACTGTAACATTGAGGCACTGCCTGAAGAAAGACTAGATTCCAGGTCTTCTTCATCCACCGACTCTGCCATATGCAAATAAATTATTAAAAACAACTCGTTATCAGTTTAAGGCATTTTGCTTTGTGTGTGGAGGGGGTCTGGACGAGAGAGAGATAGTGTATGAAGAAAAAGGAATGAGAAGGTTAGTGAGAACAGTGTGAGGGAGGGATTGTTACTTGTGATGAATACAGAAGCAGATAATGATTTACAACCACTTCGTTTAGGCTCTGTGTGTGTTTAAAGTGTATTAATGTTTTAAAACAGTGATTCTCAACTGGTTTCACTCAGTGTTATTGTTAACTAAAGCTAATACAAATTGTTATTGAAATTAAGCTGAAATAAAATCAAATATAAATATTAGATAAAAAACGTAATATTCAAAAAATTTAATGAAAATTTGAATAGTTGCCTTGGCAATTAACTTAAAACCATTATTAACATGAAACAGTTTTATTTTCTGTGTGTGGTTTGTTCATGTTTTTTGAGGATGAGGGCATGTCGCAGCATCTACCTCATTTGTTCAGGTTCTACAAATGATAAATACATTTACACTGAAGTACCATAGTTTGATTGGATGGTTAATTTTGATGTCCCCAACAGGTCGCCGTGATTTTGCCAAGTAAGACATGTTCCTGGATCAACATCTTTTGTTTATCCTGGATCAACATTACTGTCCAAAAATATAGACTTAACCCAATCCCCACCCCTAAACCTAACCTTACCCATAAATTATTCCTAAAATGAGAGGGAAATGATAGCTGATTAACAAAGGTGTAGAAGCACCTAACCCTGATTGTAACCCTAAAACTGACATTTCCTGAAAAGTTCAATTCTAATTGGTTGATTGGAATTATTTTCCAGGATGGACAAGGATGTTCAAGGAACATGTTGTACTTGAAGAAATCATGTTCAGCCCTCCACTGTTTCTTCTGTGACCCTATAACAGACCTGTGACGCATTTTTGGGTCCCGACCCAACAGTTGATAGCTACTGTTTTATACTAAATACATATATGAATTGTAGTTTTCCTCTAGTGTTCGCAGATTATGGCTGTCAAATTGATTTAATTACCTCCTGTTCCTGGCATCTGTGTTTGCCCTTGTTAATGTAGAATATCCTTATTTGAAAAAAGAAATGGTTTTCACAAAGGAGTGCAGTTATCCCAGTCCTATAGTGGAGAACAGCTTACTTTAACAGTGCTCTAATATAAATTTTCCTCATCAGCATCCTGGTTTAAAAGTACAAGTTCCTGCTTTGACAAGAGGGTGCAACTCAAGCCATTCTGAGTTGTGCATATTATTCTTCTTTCACCATTTATTCTGCTGACTGGAAGGTAAACAGTTAAGCAACACTAACAAAGCTTAAAATTTTATCATTACTCACCTTTTCATTCCAAACCTGAATGGGTTTCTTTCTTCTGTGAAATACAATAGAAGTTGTCATGCTGTTTTCTTCCAAATTATTTACATTAAGCCTTTAAAGTTATCAGCGGTTATGTTTAGTTAATTTATTACGTACACTACTGTTTAAAAGTTTGGGGTCTGTAAAATTTTAAAATGTACTTATTCCTGTGATAATAAAGCTGAATTTAAGCTGAAAGTCATTACTCCAGTCTTTGTCACATGATCCTTCAGAAATCATTCTAATATGTTATAATAATAGGAATAATAGGAAGCCCTTTTACATTACTATAAGGTTACAATTAACAACAGAGCCCAAACTAAAATTTAATTACTATTTATTTTTTAAATATAATAATCAAAATTCAACTTAAAAAAGTATGCAAATATGTAAATTGCACATAATGCAGTTTTTAAATTAAATTATAAAATTATACATTTATAAAAGTTCTATTTGTTGTTGAAATGTATTCATTTATGCAGTGGCTGTCAAAGCTTGTTCCATAACAGATTTATTTACACATACATTAAATAATTAAGACATCACTAACAGGTAAAGTAAAATATGAGTATATAGTCTAATATTTCGCAAAATGCTCTTCTCTGCACTTCATTTCTTTAGCGAACTAATGAGCTGTGGACACTGATGACTTGCCTGAGGTAAATTAAATGCTATGTTACATTTTGTTTACAGCTGTTTTGTTGACGTCTTTTCATGGTTGAAATGCTGTTTGAACGATTATTGATGCATGAGATGTTCATTCATGTTTATTTTGCGTTAAAACTAGTAGTAAAGAGGAAGGGATGGTCGCGCTTTTAAGGCGTTTATACAGCGATCTGTCGCACCACATCATAGAGCATCATAACGGCATTTATTGTTTGAATTTCGTGAAAAAAATTACATAATTTGAAAGATGACATTTTGAACTGAAAATCCTGTACCGAAAATTTTTAGCACAAGTACGTGTACCGTTACACACCTAGTTATAATAATGAAAAATATAATAATTTGGTACTAGTATAATTTGCATTATTATTATCAATGTTGAAACGGTTTTAATATTTTTTGTGAAAACTGTTATAGGCCTATATTTTTTTCAGGAAAAGTAAGTTCAAAAGAACATTTTATTTGAAATAGAAATCTTTTGTAACATTGTCACTGCTATCACTGTTGATCTAATGCATGCTTAAATTTTTTTTACTGACCTCAAACTTTTTTCTCAGCTGTGGTACTGTGTTTGATCACTTTCTGGTGACACAACTTGCCACAGTGATGCCTTTTAACTCTAATCATGTGACATTGACTCTAAGCCTAGAATGGAGGCATCTGATGGGCAGCTGGGCCGCTGGGCCAAAATAAAGAGAAAAGAAAAGAAATCAATAGTTGCCTGCTTCCAACCCAGGTGGAGAGAAATGCAATATTGCATCCTTTCCTTGCTTCAATTACTAAAACAAGCTCAAGAGAGTCTAACTCCCTCTCTTTCCTACTCCTTGTCTTCCTGCCTCGTGGCAGTAATGAAAGTTCTGTGTGTTCTTCTGTGGCAGTAGATGGGGAATAAATGTGTCTTATTGAAAGCCTTATCGCCAGTCAGCGCGCTCAAGTCATGTTCCCTCCCTGCTGATTCGCACCATTTAAATGATTGTGTGTGTGAAGCAGAAAATAAATGTCCCAGGATATTAAGCGTCCTGCACTTCCTTGTTTTGTTTTGATGTTTTCAAAACATGCTTTTCCCATTGCCAAATTTTTTTTTTTGCATGCTTTTTTCATTATTTTGATCAAAGTGTTTCAGAACCATGTAAAATGTGCAAAATGAAGGATCTCAGTGGACCGGTTTTAATATCAAGAACGGAATATATAAAAGACGAAGGGAATATGAACATCACAGGTTCAGCTCTGCTATGGTAAATGTAACTTGATTTATTTTAATTTTTTTTTAGAAAACTGTCGGTCTCTCTATGCCACAGAACTGTCTGTATGAGTGTGAATGTGTGAATGAGTTATCGGAGCGTAACTAATTATAGCTTCAGCCTTCCACAGCCAGCAATTGGCCAGTTCTCATACTTCTCACTGTCTCTTTTCACACTGCAGTCATCTAAGCTTCATTCAGCCCCAAGTGACCTGGCCTGCTTGGGCGTTTGCACTGCATTATGGGGCATTTAGCTGTCAGTGCCTTCTATTACTTCTCAGCTAGAAAGCCGGAGACCTTTGGACCTCACGCTGAGGCTGTTACTTCTTTGCGAGGATGGGAGTCTTTGCACCTTCGGCTGCATTAAGATGGAGATCGGTTCTCCCTTCACACTCCGGGCTGATTGCGGTCTCTGCTTATTGACCGCCTCTCTTCATCTCCTTCTTCTTCCCGTTCTGGACTTATTTCCCCAGACGGTCTCGGCAGTATTAAAGGGATTGGGGGGAAAGAGGAGGAGTATGCATGGTATTATTTAATGGCTCTCTAATGAATATGGGCCCATGCTGCTGTGGAGCATAGTGCTGATGCTAACCCAATAAAAGCAGATTATGAGGGGGATCCATCAGCAGGTAATGAACCGATCCGGACAGTTCTGTGCTAACTCGAGCTATAATGGACCTACTTGTTCAGCTTGGGCCCTGTGGATGCATGCTGCTGACAGCACTGCTTCCATACTGGGACAAAAGGAAAGTCATCTGTCTTCTTGTCCCTTTCTCTTCCTGAAAACTCCCTCGCCACCGTCACCTGCTTCAGAGGAATATTCCGGGTTTAATGCAAGTTAAGCTCAACCGACAGCATTTGTGGCTTATGTTGAATATCAGAAAAATAAAAAAGGAGGTTACTGTGAGGCACCTACAATGGATGTTAATGTGGGCCAATTTTTTAGCCTTATGGCAGAAATGTGAAGCTTAAAGTATTAAAACACTGGCATTAATTTTTCTGTTAAATATGTATTATTTTATCTGTGAAGCTGTTTAAATCATTATTTTTGCAGACATTCTTAGGTTTATGACATGTAGTGAAATTTAATGTAAGGTTTCATAGGCCATGACATTATATTGTTTACATCATGTGGCTGTTCTTGAAAAACTGACAATTTGAATGTTTAAGGATTGGCCCCATTCCCTTTCAATATCAGTGCCACACTGTAACCCAGAATAGAATTTAGAATTAGAGATTTTATTAGAATAAACGCATTCCAAATGATATTATGTTTGTTTTATTTCTGCTATATTTTTAAAAACAGACAGAGAGGAAATAAAACCATAAAACCTTTAGGTGAAGTAATGGAATCAGAATTGGTGTTTTGTGGTCCTGTCTCTATAGTAGAGCTGCTACTAATTTCTAATCTATCAATAATTATTTTGATTTAGTCAATTAATCTAACAATTATTTTTTGACAGGTGAATCTATCAGTTATTTTCTGATTAGGGGATTAATCCTTTGGTTAACCTAACAAATAATAACCATAACTTCTGTCATTAAATTGTTAATATTTTATTTAAACTATTTATCATAAAAATACTTTACAAATAAAAAAATTCCAAACATAGACAAGAAAGTGTCTAGAAGAAAGAATGACAAGGTCAAGTCAAAATTAATTTTTGTAATCAACATTATGCCACAAATGCTGTCAGTTGAGTTTAACTTGTATTGAACCCTGTATATTCCTTTTGCTTGCTCACCCATGCTGCTTTTACTCTATTCCTCCATATCTTCCTCTTCACCTTCTTTCTCTCTGTCATGATAGTCACTGTGTCAGATTACATGATTTTGACTCCTAAAATCTTGTCGTGGCGTGGGCAAGAAACATGTCAGACTACACGTTGCTTCCCGACCATTCATCACGTGCCGTCTTTAACGACGCCCGTGATGTCATCGAGAAGGCGGAACTAGCGACTGACTTCCGAAAACAAGAGTGTAAACATTGCTGAAGCGCTTCCGCTATAGTTCGCCAGCATTTTTCTTTCTTTGTTCTGTCGTGGTAGTCCCTTGATGAAACATCATACAGGCAGGAGTACTGTTGCCACAGCTCCACAAACCTTTCCTCCATCTCATAATTCCACCTAGCAGCACCATCTTCTCTCTTTAGTTTTGCCATGTTTGAAACCTGTGTATGAAAGAGCTTCTGTGCTGAGAAAGAGGCTTTGTGGGACTCTGTGAAGTGGCAGAGCCGTTTATCTGCCCCAGAGCCAATAAAATCTGCCTAAACAAACTGCCCCAGCTAATGAAAGGGGCACAGTGAGGGGAAAGGGAAAAGGAAGACGATAACAAAAAGAAAATGAGGGTCAATGTTGTGACTTGATCTGTATCATCCAATGCATGGTAGATATAACAGGTGCCTTTGAATTACCAGAAAACACTTTTTTTGGTCACTGTATTCAGAAAATGTAAAAGAGTGATGAAATAACTTCCACTTTTTTTTTGTCTTTAACAAGTATCACAGACCTGTACAGCTACATATTTGTTCCTAAGTGCACATGTCTGTCTCTGCAGTGTTTATTTGTTTATACATGTACATTGCAGGGAATAAGATTCATGCTGAGAGTACATATGGAGTTTTTTTCCCTCAACCAATACAGTGTTTTGGTATTTCACACAACATCAATCATAGGAAGTTTGTGCATAATTAGAGAGGAACTGTATTTTCAGCATTTGTCTTCAGCATTCCATCTTCAGGATTGCACACTGAAGCTGCTGTTGCAATCGATATAACACTAAAGTGGACTCAAAACATGACTTAATTATGAGTCGAAAGGCATCACTTGTTAGCTTGCAGTTCTCACACACCTTGTTGAACATCATCTGCTATGCCTTTTTGTTCTTTTTGCTTTGATAACTAGACTGCGGCAATATGGGATTTTGAATGGTTTTCATATCCCTGTTCAAATCACAATAGCTTTTCAAAATAAAAAGGATTTTTTTCATCACAGTTGTGCAGTCCTTTATGCAAGCAGCAATTGAACCACTTTAGGTGTTTTGTCATATCACAAACGATGCCCTTCTACCCTCCAACAATACAATTCTTAATGAAATTGAAAATAGAAATCCATACTATTGAACTTGGCTGAGCTTTTATATACACATATGTAAATGTATATGAGCAAGCTTTTCAAACATCTCCATCTGATTGATGCAGTTATTTGCGGTGTCTACATTGTGAGTTAATTCTATTGATTTGAGGCAGTATTGGCCATGCAGATTGACAAACTCTTGACTACAGATTCGGCAGATGGTCTCACTTCTTACATCTTCTGGAACATCTGGAGAAGTCTGGGCTATTTTTACCCACCAAATGTGTCCTTGATGATAGATGCGACCGCTGATATTGCAACTAAACCAAGATACATGGGTCCTCTTCCTGATGTGTATATTTTTGCAACCAATTATTGTCTTGTTTTACTGTTTAAATATCTATGCATCCTTTTAAACAGGATATATTCACTTTGAGAAGTAGTTATTTCTAAAAAAAAAAAAATATATATATATATATACAGTGGGTACGGAAAGTATTCAGACCCCCTTAAATTTTTCACTCTTTGTTATATTGCAGCCATTTGCTAAAATCATTTAAGTTAATTTTTTTTCCTCA